TTTGAGGAAATATACCATCCACTGTTTCACAAAAAAATGCTTATTTATGCTGATAGTTCTATGGAACATAGTACGTTTTGCTTGCTGGATTTTCCTCTGCACATCTAAAGGGTGTAATAGCTTCCCTAAGTGCAATGAGTGTGTTTCCTTTGAATATATATTGATATATACTGTGGTAACAGCACAAATATTAATTCTGGCTTTGGAGAATTTTAGTTGAAAGACTTAGTTTAGATTAATTCTGCCAGTAATTATTTATTTCATAATGTCTGAAAAAGGAAAATCGATTGTATTTGATGGCTATTACATGACAGTACATTACTTTATTGAAGATATCGAGACAGTCTGCATAATGTAACCTGAGAAAGTTACTGAACTAATACTACCTACTTCGTGCATTAGCCATAGTCAGTCTGTTTTAAACTATTAGTATATGAGACAAAATCTAATGGCAACATATGAATATGATAATATACGTTTATAAATAAATATATGTGTGTTTGGATCAGTTGTTCAAAAAACACAAATATTAAACACCTTAAGAGTGAAAAGAAAGGATTTGGTCTGGATATTAAAACCTTGTGATATGGGGCTAACGGTGATTACTGATCTGTGAGGTATTATTTAAAAATTCCATGCACGTGTTATAGTCATTAATACATGTGAGAGAATGTTTCAATTTCGACATTGCAGTATTCGAGTGGTAATGAATTTTCGTGGAATACAAAGTAACAAAGAAACTCATACTATGTCTGATAGAAAACAACGTTTTTTTAATTTTTTTGGTAAGAGTAGCGCAAGATATTTTAATTGGATCAAACTAAAATATGTATGAGTGGGTGAAAATATCAGTAGTAAATGAAATTCACAAACAGTGGATTAGATATCATAATAAATTTAAGCACGGTATACCCAGTAGTTTATTTGGTTGTGATGGAATATTTTCAATTATGCCATTTAACATAATAAGTCTTATTTTACCTTTCTTTAACAGAGGAACTGACTCTAACCCACTATGAAATATAGAACTGGAGGAGAGGTATACAACTTTACAAGGGGAATACCAATAGGCATTGAAGGAAAACAGAAAATTGAAAGAAGAAATAGAAAATAGCTTGTATTACCAGAATTTGTACAGTGAAAAAATTTCTTCTCTGACAAGATTTTTGACAGCTGTATTGTTCTTGTGGATTTTAGGATTTGCCGATGTCTATTTTAATATAATTGACATTTTGTGTGCTGAGGGTCGGTGCTTGCTAGTTTTAATGAAGCTGAGACTTAATTCAACCAACAAATATTTGGCTATGCACTTCAACATTTCTCCTACTGAAGTGTTAAAAGTACTTGGGAAATGTATCCCCACTTATAGTAGTGTGATTTGTTTAAAAGTGCTTTACTAGCAAGCACTAATAGGTTAAACATTTAGCATAGTTGATAAAGCATTTGAAATGTGTGCAAGAAGTTTCATATTTGAATATTAAGCTGAAGAAATTATATTGCTGGGATTACCACAAGACAAAACAACCTTCTTTATGATAATGAAAAAAGTAGTAGTTTGAGTTAGTTCTTTAAAAGTGTTCCTTACTAGCAGGGCTCTGAAATTAAGCCCAAGGATGGACCTTGTTTGTGAGAAGGGAACAGTGTAATAGTTTGAATTGCTATAAAGTGCTTTAACAGCAAGTTCTAGTAAATTGACCCTTTAGCTCAATTGGTAGAGCACTTAGCTGGCGTGTGACAAGCCTGAAATTCAAATATGAAATGAGAAAATAAATCACAAGAATAAATTACACACAATATTTTCCAAAAAACTGCATTTACTAATTAAGCAACCAGATAAGAATATTGTTCCAAAGAATATGCATAAACACTTCATAAGAACGTACAAGAAATATAGAGTAATTACTGACTATTATTCAGTGGCCACCAAATCATGATGTGAGAGGAGGACTTGAAGTAATTATAAACATCATAACACTGTTAACTTTCAATAGAAATTACTCCTCATCTCTCAGTTTGTTTTTTATCAAAATGTTGGGGTGGACAAGTATTAGACAAAAAAACCACTGAGGATTTAACATTTTCTTATAAACAGCTGTATGGAGAGTTAGTGATACCAGACAGGGGTTTCTTAACTGAGGAGAAACTTGCTAGGAGCATCTCTAGACATTCTCTCCATTTACCAAGGGTAAGAAATCTCTCAAGGATACTTATACATAAAATGATAGATATGTTTTATTAGTTTGAAGTTAAGCACAAAGCTACACAATGGGCTGTCTGTGCTCTGCCCACCACGGGTATCGAAAACCGGTTTCTAGCGTTGTAAATCCGTAGACATACCGCTGTACCACTGGGAGGTAGATAGATAGAACTAAAAAAAGAAGTTTTAAATTTGAAGCACACAATTCATATCTCCTTTCTGAAACATGCTTAAGACAATCTGTGGTGCATGAGTAATGAAATTATGTTCATTTAGACTTATTTGTGAATTGTGTATTATGTAAGGATTTGTTCCAGAAAGAAGACACAGGGGGAAACATGAAACTTTCTTAACATACATAATACATTGTTTCAAAAACTCAGTTTATAACATACAGTTCATAAATCTATTACTACAAGTGATCTTTTATATATTGTATGTGTGAACAGTTGGGTAATTTCTTCATTTAGAATTGACCTCTGTGGAAGAGATTCTTTCATAGGAGGGGAGCTGATAGTTTTCTCCCCCCATCTTTTTCTCTGGAACAGCTCCAGGAATACTGAGGATTGAGTACGTCATGCAATACTCACAACCAATACAATCTCAAGATGGAATAAAATGTATCGGAACTACTTTTAAATCGTGGTAAGTAAATTGCAGCATCTTGTAACAGAAGAAATTATACGAACACAGATCCATGGCAAAAGTCGGCCACGTGTCCTGGGCACTAGTATACTACATAATCAAGAATTATCTCCATTTAGAAAAGTGACACAAGTAAATTGTACATAAGTTGTTTCTATGACATTTCTGTTCAACCACTGCATACCTCAAGCAAATTGAGAATGAAAGGATATTCATACTGTTCCATACAAAGACGTACCAGTTAAATGGCCAGATCCAACATATATGGAATTCTGTATAGAAAATTCACATGGAGTAGTGGTGTGCTTTGGTCATGACATCCTTACAATAGAGTCTTTTGCAATGGAAACTTACATTGCAAGGCTATTGTCAAAATATATGTTCTTCAGAAAGAACAAGATCGAACATGGCAAAATGAACTGTAACGATATGATGAAGCTCCAAAATTATTTTAACATAAATCGGGAAGAAAAAAAAACCTCTTTCTTAAATCAAATAATTATTTCATTTACCACAATGAACATTTTTTAT